ATCAAGGATAAGGGCAACATTTGGAATTGGGTCCATCTTTCGTAGAGACAAGATTTTTTGAAATTATCAGTATAACTCAGTTTCAACATTTCGGAATCTGATTGACGTGCTAAACTTTTGAGAAAATAAGTGGATAAAATAAAACTGAAGAATTTACAATCTACCGTGGTACATGGTGATGGCAGCTTTATGACCTGAGGCGTCTCTAGCTGTTCAAGTGCTCGAAATCCCAATTTTTTGTTTGGTCACGTGAACCAATTTGTCTACCCGGGTCTGCTGAACAGAAATCAAACAATCATGAGATTGTGATTTTCAATATCTTTAGAAATGCCTGATGAAGATGACTGTGGGTCACTGAAAGCTTGCAATTTTTTCAATAAATCAAGTATTATCCTCGAAAACCGCAGAGATGTCTACTAATAGAAATCAAACAAGTTCTCCCACCCCTCAGGCTCTGAGTCGTCTATTGACATTCCAATAAGAGTATGATTCCAAACAAACATCCCTTTCAACAGGATCGTAGTTTGAATAAACCACATGAAGGTGTAGGAATGGCTTCTACAAAGCACATACCTTGATTCCATTGAACATCTCTTTGATTACGTCAAAAAATAAAATCTAAAATTCAAAATTTCAGACCAGGGCGACTTGAGAAGGGAAAATTCTGGAGCATGTGAAAATGGCAGTGAAGAAATCGATACACAATTGGTTGCATCTATCCAGAGTCTCTCTAATGAAGTTTTTTCTAGTATAGGGGGCCCAGCATATAATCTAGTACACTTTTATACGTTTTACAAAAAATATACCTACTTTTATACAATAAAATCACATTTTGCCCGAATAATTTTGCTCTCTTTTTTTCCGAGTTTTTTCAGTATTACATACTTGGTTTATATGAAAATGTGTACTTTTTCAAAGACAGGTTTAATACTATTGAAAGTCTAATAAATTGTGCACAAACTGCAGAAAAATCGAAATCGATACCTTGGCTAGTTACTTAATTATTGTAATTTGAATTTCGAGGTTTCCCTTGCCCAAACAATTTTGCTCACGAGTGTATATGTATGTCTACAGCCACTGTGCTGAAATACTACGCCAGGTGCAGCCGATGGTGATGTTCATCGCTTAACCCAGAGACAAATGGTAAGCTTAAATACTACAATTCTTATCAACGTTAGAGATCATAAACTGATCGATCGTATGATCATAAACTGATCGATCTAGCAGTTGTGACCCCCAATACTGTCGGTGGTGCCGATCCTTGATTTGTTGAGGTAAGGCTCCCACAATCGGACTTATTACTGAGAAAATTACTGCAACGTAGACAAAACGGGAAAGATCTTGGTACTTTTGAGAAGTTGTAGATTCTCCAAACTTTCCTTAAATTTCACATGTAAAAACACAATGTCAGGAATATAAGGATCAAAAATCTCAAGTGTCCCCTTAAAGAAAGCTTCAGAACGTTTTCGACCATAAAAAATGAATGTTTGATTCAAATGTAATGAAACTTTTAGGTTATACAAATTATGTTTCAGACACTTCAATTCCTTACTTTTCAAATCAAAATCTAATTTCACCAGGCTGTTAAGAAATATCGCGTATTGCTTCTTCCTGAATACAAGTTCCCACCCAACAATTATCGTTGCTGTACGCGACACCAGATTTCCCATTTCATTGATTAGGCTGTAAATGGAAAATTCATCCATTGGGCGAGAAGAAATCGTCCAAGCTCTGTAACCACAATCCAAACTTCCGAGAAGTAAAATCACCCAAATGAACAGTAATGTACTCGACTTTTCCACAAACTGGAAATAAAAACGACAATGTTAGTAATATAATTCACAGTGTGAAGGTGAGACCTAGCGAAGCAATTTCATACCTGAACTTTTCCGTTAAATCTCAGCGGTACAGATTTTAGCATGTTGCCGCATTTTAGCAACAGTTCGAAATTGCCAATCCAGGTTTTTTGAGTTTTCGTTTTAATCATCACATTTCCCCGTGCACTATTTTTATTAAAAATGTACTCCATGTTGAACAAAGTTTCTTATGTATTTATTCATGTATATAGCTTCGAAGACGGTGTCTAAATGAAACTTTACCTTTCCACTGTCTCCTCAAGTAAGCCAAAGCATATTAAAGAATCAAAGTAAGCACAGGATGTCATACATTGAAGGGTAGAAGGTTTTGCAGTTGATCGACTCCGATTATAAATTATGTATCCACAAAAAACTGTTCTTTGATATAAACTAGGTCTAAAAATCATTTGCCAAAAATTGCCAACAGAATATTCTATTAAGTATGTAAGTATGTATGAGCATAAGCACGGATTATACTATGAAGGCATGAAGTCGAAATACTGACGTCAATAAATTTCGCCAAATTTAATTTTACTCGTGCGTCGTAGCTAAATGTGACGATAATTTCCACATCCAGTGAATCATGCATGTTGTTTTTTTTACCATGTTGTCTAAATATTTGCCGATCAGTGTTCATAAAGCTCTAGGATTCTGACAAAAAATGAAATTCCAAAGTATATGGGTTTTAATGTGTTTAGAAATAAATTCAGAAAAATTTGCCGGAAAATACAGGTTCAATCATACACAAATCTTTGGCATACTTAAATTTTGTCCAACGTTGAACAAATTTTGATCGACTTCATTTTACTCAACTAGCATTACTCAACTTTATTTAGAGTGCCATCCAGTGCAATCCAAGCTAATCTTGTAGTCAACATCTATTTACTTATTTCTCGAGATGAATAAAAATTTAATCATGGGCAAACATTACCCTTTTTGCACTTTTTCTCATTGCACGAGTAATTTTGTTTTCAACAATTGAAAACCTTGTATGTACATAGGTACTCATCGAGCAGCATAACAGTAATATGTCAAGTCGAGATACATATCAGTTTGGGCGATTTCAATCATCTTGATGGACCTACGTATAAATACATAAAATCTACATAGGAGGAAGCCACAACAAGGCCTTATTAACCAAAAGCTCATACAAACAAACCCAATTTTTCAATAAACGGAGAAGTAACTTTTCATATGTGGGAGGACATCACAGGCTTGCATTAGTTATTTAGAAATGTCTGAAAGTCTATTTAATTCGATACCGATTTTAATATAATTCCCTGAAAAATGCATACATCATTTCCTTGGGAACGCTTGGTACAACAAAAGTTTGATAATGTCCTCAATGATGCACGTTCAATTCCAATAACATTGATTTTACCCAATTTTACCGTGAATTTATTTTTATTTTTATGTATATTCGATCTATAACTTGTGCCAACAAATTTCATAGCCGTTAAAGTTACAAGCCTATTACAAGCGAGACGAAGATTGTATGAATTCTGAGAATTTAATGAGCTCCAAGTTATATGAAACTTATAAAAAGCTGTGCATATTATCACGCTCGATATAAGCCAAGATATGTCAAGTTCTGGTAATTTCTTTCCACCGCCTTGAGTTTTCGCTAATACGATGAAACCTCGATATATTAAGAGTCCAGTGTGTTATGTATCAGGGCAGGTGAGCAGCAAGTCGAAAATTAACCGGAAATCTGCATGCCCTTCATTTGCATTGTCCTAACAAGGCTTCTACTACTACAGATGTATTGTCACGCAGTTGAATATCTGTTAATCATTAACCTAGAAAAGGTTGCAAGATGCCACATCGTGCTACATCTTGCAATGTGGGCCACATTGCAAGATTTGTGTTTAGTTCCCCCGAAATTTGTTGGACACGGAGTCAGTTCCTGTTCATCGATGATACGAACCTTACCAAATTTCTTCTATTGGTGATCATGTCAAATGGGCAGCACTGCTCGGTTAGATAGTAATACCTGTATTCAATGTCGTATTTATCGCGACTTTCATCAAACTTATTTCATCCACCAGGAAGGGGCATATTCCTTCAGCTTAATCGCTTTCACTCTTTAACCTTTATTGAATTTTGACTTCCTCATTTTCCTCTCCTCTTATGCACGAGAATTCTTGTATACTCGACAAATTTAAATCTCTGTATTCAAATCCCGAAAAAATTGTAGAACTTCGAACAATGACGAATTTAAGTCACATCCGTTCTAACGGAGTTGTCTTGTGTTATTTGAGTCGATGAATATTCACTTGTATATAAGGCTTCACCTCGGAATTCAATTTATCATAGTAAAGCGAAAAGTTGAACTTGTCTGCCGGACAGGTAATTTCAGTCTCACCTGCATTCTGAAAACTGTGATATTGTGGCCTACCGGTTAGGTGTAGGCCAGAAACTTCAATATATAAATTTATTCCTCACCAGTTAGGGACGGGTTGTGGGTGCCAACGGACGGGTTTACCTATGCTTCCTATTCTACAGAACCTGTAGAAGTTACGACTCACAACCACATAGACCTTGGTACCAAAACCACGCTAGTAGGTTTTCGATAGAACATTTTCTGTAGTTGAAGAAGAAAATGGAGCCTGGCTTGTTACGGTGAAAGTGAAATAAGGCATAGGACTTGTCAAGGTGCTGGACTGTGTTTAATGGATTGTGATCAATATTGACGATCTGGCAATGGGATGCGGATCGACTTGATCGACGCCATATACCCATATACCATAACCTGCTTCGAAGATGAGGTACTCAGAAACGCCGAACTGTTGCAATAACATGGTATCGTTTTTGGTTGACATGCGATTAAATATGGTCTACGTAATGAGCCATGATTGACCTTGTCAACGATCGACCTTGTCAACGATGTTATGATATAAGATTCTGCGGTTTCATCCCTTCCAACTTGTTTATGGTAGAACAAGCACTCGACAGATTTCTTTTGCCAAATATTTTCTCGAATAGTAGTAGTTTTTATCTATGTTTCATGACACAATGCATAATTGGCGTCTGCATTTTGCCGATCATCGGCTTCGCGTTTGGCATAATTCGATCCTGTATGCCTTCTGCTGTGACAAGTTTGATGGATCAAGAATTCAACACATGGGATGATGGTGGACAAATCTGGATCGTGTTCCAGACTGGTTTATCAATTTTGATGGGGTACATAGCTGGTCAACTTTCTGCAAACGTTGTTTTCGCCGTGGGTATTGTACTAGTGTACCCCATCGTAGTCAAGCTAATAATCCTAGAGTCAATTGCCAGGTTAGATTGGTACGTATGCACTAAAATATCAATAATATACAATCTGAACAATTTTGCAGAAATTTAAACCGTGGATGGCAAAATGGATTCGCATGCATTGGGCATATCGAAGCTTGCAAATGGGTATCATACTCAGGATATGGGGGGCAGTAATGTTTGGTTACCTTGCCGCTCTACTGGCGGTTAACATTGTTTTCGCCATTGCAGTAGTACTGGTCTATCCTACCGTGGTGAAATTACTAATCCTGGAGTCAATGAACAGGTAAGATATAATTTAAAGTAAAGGTTAAATGCATTAATGGCATATTTGCAACCTTAACAATTTTTCAGAAATTTGGAAATTGAAACTCAAAATACCTCCGCATACCTGGGCACATATCGGACTCTACAAATTCTGTCAACCATGCATAATTCCGTCCTGAGTCAGCCGCTTATGCCCGCATTGGTCGGAGGCGTGACTGTGTGTCAAAGCTTCGCATTGTGCATTATAATAGCCCCAACATCTGAAGTCCCTATCCCTATTTTTCTACTCTTCAGTCAGATAGCCTTGAACATGTTCGTTGTAATTATAGTACCTTTCAAAATGATGTCTGGTCCATTGGTAAAATCAATGAAGCTACTGAAATCTCTGGAAAGGATGAATGGAAAGAGTTCGGTGAAACAATTCGTCAAGTCTTGCCCACCGTCTAAGCTGAACTTAGGAGATGGAAAGTTCTTTGATAAAGCAACGTCACTTGTGATATTGAGTAAAAGTGTTGATTTGCTGATCTATTTTTTACTGATATAGTTTGGATGATTATGGCATGGCTTTTCTTTCCCCAGGATTTAGGTTCACATCTTATCACAATTTTGCAAATTGGATTTTAAAAGTTACCAAATTAATTTCGAGAATTTTTTTGTTGGAAAATGGTATACAAATTGTATACAATAATCACGTAAAGTTAGAATTTTTGGTGATAAATAATTGCTATTTCCATTCTAATATGTTAAACCCTTGTACATACTACATACAAATCTGGGTTTGACTTTATCCCGACTTAACCACCTGATTCTTATGCATATTTATGTATTCAAACCTCTTACTTTCAATCTGAAACATATTATCCAGGGGTGCATAAATCCCTCTGCATAAATAAGCTTTGTGATATCTCAACTCGAGATATTGATTTCGTCGAACAAGTTGAATTTTGTTTCTGGAAGGAATTTCATATGAATATAACATACAGCTTTGTAAGAGCTAGTTATAAGAGCTTTCTCATCAACCGCCATGACAAACAAACCTAATTGTGCGATCAATAGAGTGGCAGATTTCCACACATCTTGCTACATCTCAGACGTTCGTTGGTAAATAATGTAAAGTACGGGCACACGTACTCAATAATATATTTGTTTTATACTCCATACATTTCCACTTTAGCGACTTTTGTTAATTGATTTTACATATTTAAAAGGCCGCAGCAATCGATTACTTGACTTTGATGGTAAGTTCACTCACTACCATACAGTGGTGCGATCAAGAGGAAGGCTAATTGTAACCAAAGTTCGAAAGGTTTAGACCACTTTGTTTCCCAATCCATTTCTTTGTATCCCATTATCAGCGTTAACAACAAGTAGGGGAGGAAGTACTTGCAAAGTGTGGGGTTGTCTGAGATTTGAACATTTGTCGTCGTTCAATTACTAGCCTAATTTTGCACCCGGAAAAATTGTAGTATGCCGCGAAGCGTGGACCGATTAGTTACATGGCTATGGGAAATGTTCTGTCCCTCGTCAAACATTCCTCTTCTGATTAGCACTTGTAAAATTCTATTCATCTTCTAGCCGTTTCCATTGGCAATAAAGAAAGACCAGTTTGTAATTACAAATTCTAAAACATGTCGACTAATAGTTTCAAATCTAATAATCCTCCTCCATTTGGGAGTTGCACTTAAGTGGGTTCTGGAACAGTGGTTGAACCCAGTAAATCCATATCCACCAATTTGGAAATTCGTCTTCATTTACTACTGCATAACCTTGTTTACAGCATGCGTACTTTTCGTAATTCACTTTTCGTTGCTAAAGAAGGAAACGATTAGCTTATTGAATTCAGGAATTCACGTTGAACAAACCGTCAATTCTAAAGGTGAGCTGGTTAGATACGAAAAAGTAATCACCGCGAAAGACACCATTGATTACGTAAAACCAGTTTCTAGTAGCTAATTGTTACGATATATGTAGCATGAATATGGGAAATTATGCCAATATATTACGTTGCAGGGCAAGACAGTGCGAATATTAATTATCTATGTTTCATCGCACTATGCATAATCGCGGTCTACATATTGCCTATGTTCACCTTCGCGTTTGGCTTAATTCGACCCTGCATGCCGCCTGCCCTGTCCAGTTTGATGGATCAATAATGCAAATAGTGGGCAGGCCCCGATTTAGGGGCGGGCAACACGGGCAGCTGTCCGGGGCGCCAAACCCCCGGGGGGCGCCGGCAGGCGCCCAGGTTTACACTAGATACAATTAGATTTTCCTGTTATAAATTTTGAAAATTTTTTGCTTAGAGTTTTTATTTTTGTCAAGTTTGGACACCTCATTGCTACAATTCTGATCTGTTGTGCACCACTGCAATTTTTGAAACGTACAGTTTCTAAATTTTCACCCACACTCTAAATAAAAATATACAGGACGACACGATAATTTGGCTAAAATTTATTCCATTGTTGTGAAAAATTATCCAACGGTTAACTAAATGATTGACTAGATTTCACCCGATTGCAGTGTTAACCTCTATTTTCGGTCAAAATGTAAATTATCTAAAACTTAAATTTAAAATAATATGCCTGGCAATACATTTAGAGTTTACGCTGGGGAGCAAATTAAATTGTGATACACATAAAGGCTGTTCTATCTCGCATTTGTTGCATTGCATCTTGAAAGTTTGGTAGCCTAGAAAAATTGTGGTTGTATGTATATCATTCCAATTTTTGAGAAATGTCATAGAGGACTCATTATACAGGTCTTTTATAAGTAAGACTGAAATCTCTATTCGACTAACTTGATATTGTTCACCAAAAAACATAAGCCATTCACCGTACTTTTGCATTTCATAATGCGCTACTTTGAGCGCTTGGCGCGAATTGTAAGCTTTTTTCCAGCCGAAACCTAGGTTTTTAAAATTGTCTAATTTAAGCGCGAATCCAAAAATTTCGAAAAAAGGTTTCATCATAATAACTTCGCGAACTTCAAAATATGAGTTGGCTCTAAATATGAAGTTAAGAATACTTCAAAATACCAGTATTTGAAATTTATTAAAATCATAAAGTCGTTCAAATTTTCAAACAATATGTAGATTTTTTATAAATTAAGTAAAGCATTCTGAATTAAAAAAATAGGTTTTGGCTTCGGGCTCAAATTTCCGATGGAAAAAATGGAAAAAATACGGGGACGCATTTATTTTTGTGGCGCGAACAAAATAAAGGTGATCCTATGAAGATCTGCGGTTTACACGTAAATGACCCGCTGCATTGCCAGTTTTTGAAGGCATCTTTCTAATTGCGGCATCGGTCTCAGAGTTTGTCCTCAATTTTAACAATAATCACGAACAAATATGTAAAAGAACTTAATATCTAAAACGGTAAAATTTAATTTCACCTATTTAAACGCGCTTTAAATCGCCGTAATCTACTTAATTAAATTGCTAAAGTTTTAAATTTTCAAAATTTAGATTTAGAACTTCTTGCCGAATTTTGTCTCTGGGACAGAAGGAAATGGTCATACACAATATAAAGTATATATAGGCTTAATCCCCCCGGGGAGGCCTCTCCAACGATATCTCATATGACCCCATTGTGGGGTTATATGAGACCTTTCCCTGCCTTTAATCCAAAGTGTTGACATTTGTTTTAAGAATTTCAACAAACGCTCGAAAAGGGTTGGGCGCCGTCCATAAATTAGGTAACGCAAGAGGGGGGGAGGGGGGGTCTAAGGCTCCAATGATATAGTGCCTATGCTACACATGTTAAAGGGGGGGAGGGGGGGTCTAGAAAATCGCGATTTTTGCGTTACGTAATTTATGGACGGTCCCTTGTAGGGAATAAAATTAGAAAATTATTTACGATAACCGTTTTCAAAAATATTGACCTGCCTTTGCACTAAAAATCTCAGACGGGAGCGATTTTTCAACCTCCAGCTCCCGCCACTCCGAGGGGGCGGAGTAGAAACACCGGAGTTCGACCGTTGGACTCAGAAAAATCAGCTTTTACAAACGCTGAGAATAGTATCCAAAGCAAAATTGTAACGGTGTGAAGTGATTCCGGTCTTTAATCCTACTTTGAATTTAGGATTGCGTACTTAAGTACAAAATTGAGCGTGTACAGTCAATGGAAAAAGTATTGGCAACCCCCACGCCAGCTAAATAAAATTGGCGGTACCCTTGGAATGTAAATAAATTAGTTATGCTGCCCACGCAACAATAGATGCACTAATAATTGTTATGTTCCTCTCATTTAAAAAATTACAGGAAAATGGAAACTTAAATCATAATTTTTCAACATTTCAAACTTAACTTTTCTTTTAATAACATCTGAAATAATAATAATCAAACCAAAAGGAGTAACCGCACCAAGAACTTCACGCAAAAAGACGTTATCACAAGTGGGGTCGACATTTCGATAAAATTGCTCCCGAACCGGATCCTCATTGGACTGCAAGAGTTAATCATCCCCCTAACGTAGCCCGTATTCCCCATATTATCCTTCAAAAATGCCACCTTCATTTTCCGAACTATACGCATAGAAGTCTTGTTTGTGAGGCCCGCTGTTGTTCCAAGACCCATAATGAGTAGAAACGTCTCCAACGCGAGCAAGGGAAACAATATGTTCCTAACGTTTGAAAACAGTTGACTATTTAATTTTACGCACAGGTACGATCCTAATATATTTGCAGAGATGCTATACATTAAAATTGTGGGGAGAACCATCTGGCGGAAAGATAGGTTCATCTGGGCAACCAGAACGGACGGTTGTTTGTAAAGATTCACTGACATGGCCAGATTGTTAGCGCATTTTGCAGACCTGATGGTAAGACATACATAAATTTTAGGGGACATGATAGAATGAATACAATAAAACCGTTATTTATTACGGATTAAGTTTAACAAGAGCTTGCGGTTATTATTAGTAGCTTGCTTGCTAAATTAATAGCTAGCTGTATTTTCAAAATCGTATTAGCGAAACCTACATACTTTTTCAAGCAAGACAGATATCCCGCCATGCATATCGATGTTCCGCAACACATTGAGCCGACCATGATACAGAAGGATACAGGTACGACGCAAAAGATGTTGCCTTGCAGCACAAAAGAGACCGCAAAAACTATCAAGTGTATACAACTTGATTCCATATTTACAGAGACTGATCCAAGAAAGGTGGGGATTTTGGGTTCATAGACCAAAATTGCAAATCCTGTCACAGGTACGACGAACGATACTATGGTAGCTTCCAAGTTGCACAGCTGCACCCGAAATTTCCACCACCTGACGCAGTTGGAGGTACATCCTGTGTAAAAATTGTCCAAAAAAACTTATTGTGTACTTTTTCATACTATTTTTAGTTTACTAATGTGCAGTTCAATTTTGTGCTACTGTGATGAATCTATCCTTAGTTCAGTAATATCTCTGTGGTGATTCCACTCTAAGAAATTTAATCGCCTATCAGTGACAATGGTCTTCTACCTTATGGCGGTCCTACATAGGCCACCGCTCACATCGTCCCAGCACGGAAATAACCAACCACAAGCTCGCTTCAAATTACTCACCAGGAAAGGCACACAACCAGCAAGAAGGTAGAGTCACGTCTATTAGCAAATTTCTTAGAAGGCACGAAGTTTTGCAATTGTCACTTTGGCTTATTTGTATTTGCGTATCTATCCACATGATATACATAATTCCATGTGTCTGTGTACATGTGTATAGTTGATTTTGCAAATGATGCGAAATTTTATACTTTTCAACTGCTAAAATTTATCTGTACTTACCGAGCAGCTTGAAGTATTCCGACTCAAAGAATCCCATCATATTCAACATGTCCACATATCTCTGGCACCCACTCAGCACTGGCATCGCGACCGTACATCCTGTCCAAAAACCTAGCACAATGGTTCCTATGAATGCTTTTTTGGTGGAAGTAAGTCCCTGGGAAAATGTTATCGTATGAATCCCGTTAACCACAAGAGCAGCAACTGTTCCCGAGGTAATAATAATTTTTAACCGGTTGTCCTGATCTCGGCGTATGAATTTATTTTTTTCTCGATCGTAGAAAAATGGTTTGAATCCAAATGCAGCTAATAGTTTCAGGTTCCAAATCATGACTTCAAGTCCGGCATCAAAAAGCATTTCTAAAGACGAACGAAATTAACTATTCCCACACGTGGTTATCTAGTTTGGCACTGCATCGAGTACATGTCCTTAATCTCAAAATCGATACGTTTACTTATTGGTCCAGTTCAGGTTTCGGGTTAAGCTTTTCACAGGTAGACACATTTTTTTCGAGCTCATAGTCGCTTGAGACTTTGTTCATGTGGTCTCCCCTTCACAATTCAAGGGCTAATTTGGATCTCACAATGCCCCTTGCTGTCTGAGGTTTAATTTTGGAGTGCCATCCCACTATCTTGGATTGCCTTTGGAACAATATTTCACTCAATTCGCTTAGATTTGACTGTTGGCCATCTCGATTTAGTATTACTTGGTACAGTACCTACATTTGTGTATTCTCCAGTAATTGTTTTAATTGAATTTTTTTAATTTGGTAATAGCTCTATTTTTTATCTGCTAATATTTTTTCCCGCAATGTTTAACTGTTGATTCTTTCCCATTTTTAAGCTTTTTTTACATGTAGAGGGACTAGGATGAATGTACATAAATTATTGTTAAACCCTTGTCTCATTATCCTTTCGTTATGAAGTAATTTTTAATATGGAACGGGTATAAACTTTTGCAGCTAATTGTTTTGTGTTTTTTTGTGGTATGATTAATTAAGCATTCCCGTTGGTTTTTTCATAACCAAATGTACACTCTAAGAAATTTTACCACCAGCGCGGTGGTCATATGTGACTCTACCGGCAGGTGGCAGAAGACCACCGGATGGTGGATGCCCATCACCAGCTCAGTGATGATCAATCACCGTGCGGTGGTGCAGTTGTCACCTTGCGGTGGTTGCAGCTGTCACCATTCCGGAAGAGTCACATATGACCACCGCGTGGTGGTAGTGTTATCACCAGGTTTCTTAGAGTGTAGTATTGTTGGAAAGCCAGTTACATGCTGTACAACATAAACCTAAAACCGATGGCTGAATAAAATCTACTGATAAGCTTGAGCCATCGGGGCGCACAGTATACGAGCGGGTTTAAACTTATGCCCTGGTGCTGTAGATACATACATATATAATTTTAAAAGTAATGTTACCCTTTGAGCAGTAAAAACACTCTGAATTCTATGTACATTAACTAAACCAACTAAATTCAGCGTAAGCTTTACTCTTTGTCAAGTTAACGATATTCTGGGTATATGTACGGCATCCAATTAAAAGCCCTCTAAACGGCTTGATTTTGCCCCGGAATCGGTTCTAAATTACTATAATTGACCTTACCCCCACGCATGCATATGTAGTCTAAATATACTCAAATTTCTATGAGATTTATCTACCACAGAAACTTAGCCAGGGCTGTTTAATTACCGATGAAAGTAATTAATTCTTAATTACTCCCCACGCGAAAAGTGAAATTAAGCTGTAACCACAAATATTTATTTGTCCAGTAATTGAATTTAATTGCCAATGACAATTACTTACCAAAAAGGTAACTGATTTTAATTACTAATTACTTTTTCACTCTCATCAAATAAATTAAATATAATTTCCCAATAACTTATTTCGCCCAAAAAATATGTGTATTGGCTAAATGCCGCTTAAATTTTCTCAGTTGATTTTGATGTTAAATTGCACCAAGAAATTCGACATTAAAACTTCTCAATGCATTTCTATTGTAGATTTTATTTGCCTATACATAACAAAGATGCGACATTGCTTCTAATAAAAATACTTACGGGTATTTTTCCAATTTAGAGGCTATGTAGAACACAGCTAGTACAAACAAAAATTGGAATATGCATGAAGTGCAAAAACTGAATGGGAAATATTGAGAATGAGAACCACCGCTGTTCACAACAAAAGTTGTTTAATTTGAGTTATTCGAGAGTAGCAATAATGTAAACCGGAATTTCGAAAGACAGAAAAAAATTTGATTTTGATAAGATTTGCACCGTTTGCAGAGGTGATTTTTGTGAGTGCAACGGTACCAATAATTTGGTTCGACCCCGCCCCTTTCCCCGGGGGGAGGGGCCGAAAGTCGCAAAAACTGCAAACGGGGACACGGATTTCTCGAAGATGGAAAAAGATATCGAGATGCTACTTTCACCAAAAGTTTCCTAATTTTTTTCTCTCCAACCCGAATCGAGCTTTTTTTGAAATTCGAAAAACAAAGTTTCAAAAAAATAACTTGGAAAAATTTTGGATGAAAATTTTAAGTCTCACAACACCCCATAAATGGGGTATCGTTGGAAAGGTCTCGACGAGTGGATTCAGAATATATAAACTTTGTGGGGTCTGGGACCACCCCCTGACTTTCTAGGGGCCAATGAACATTTTTGAGTTTTCGTCGGTATTTTGCTATGTTAGCTCCCAATCTGCTCCTGTGTTAACGTCTGCATCCGTGGACACACTTTTGGAAAGTTAATAGAAATAATTTAAATTCAGCATTATACTTAATCAAGAGTAATTAAAAGCTTAGTACTCAGGGCGGATTTTTCATGCCAATCGATACACATATTCTTTGCCCTGTACTGGAATTTGACTGCCAAACGAATGAGAGAGCTGGTTTAAACAAATAAATTGCGAATTTTTTTTCACGTCAACATTTTTTTTAGTGGAAAATACGATCTGAGTACTACACAGTCATAATTTTAGATTCCAGTGTATGCTTACTTTTTCACAAGGGGAACATTATTTTTAAAGTATGTGTGAGATTGGTTAAAATCATGGGAAAATAGTTATTACAAATTTATCTAATTCTTTTGAATTTTGCACAAAGATTACAAATCACTGAGAGTGAGAGCCTAATAAGATTGTTGCCTTCGAGTATAAAATGTAATGTCCAACTGTGACATTGAAAGTGAATTTAATTATGTGACTTTGTAGATATGCAAATATGCCTTTTCGACTTGTGATTGATTTTCTTAGTAAGCCGGATCCGACTGTCGTCCGACGATGAGTTGCTCAGAAAGCTCATCATTTTATTGGAGATGTATGTGTAAAAACATAAATTCATCACGTACATATGTAGATATGTAGCAAGTATGCACATACGCAAATATGTGCAAGGCATACACAATTCATTTTTTGTCGATCTTTATGAAACACATGAACACTCTTAACAATAACGGCACCCTTTTGAGAAGTATGTACAAACTGAATTCTGTAAATTATGTATACTAAATTCAGAATAAACTTTGCTCTTTATAGGGTTACCATTACTCTTCTGAATAGTTTACGTAATATAGAATTCCGGCTCTGAATTTCGGAGTGCGTTGGCCCTTGCATATTCAAGAAGGTGTCACTATTTTTAAGAGTTAACTGAAAGAAAGATTAAGCATATTATTTATATTTGTATGACATTACTTGTTATTTTGTAATAAGATATGTAAGATCGCATTCATGCTTCTTCATATTCTCCGTATCGTAAAATAAGTTACGAAGGTTACGAGATTTTGTAATCGAATTTACGCAGTACGATTTTGTCACGGAAAATCGCGTTGCGACGTAAGGTGACGATTTTATTGAAGCTTGGCCCCTTGCTGTTTCTTACAAGGGGACCTCAACTTCTGTCCCATCTCGATTTCCTTCCGTATAGTCGTAGTCGATAGATGGTATAGTGAAACTTAAACTTTTTCGTAGAACATTCAGGGCAAAATCAATCAAAAACTTGGAAAACGTGCTAAAACATGCAATTCTTTCATTACTATTAAAGCGGCTATCGAGTTTGGAAACGGATAAACTGAAGTTAATAGAATATTCTTGACTTGATCAAATGTCAGATCAAGATGAAGATCATAAGATCAAAAAAATTCTAGCTATGCTATCTAAATTCTAGCTTGTTATATATAAACCGATAAATACAACTATGTGTAATGCACATAGTGTGCACTGTGCACGCTACAAATACTAGATAAGTAACCAAAATTGGTTTCTAACCAACTTTAGTTATTCAAAGCTGACAGCATCAACGTCGTTAAAATTTCGTATAGGTATATAATATTTAACAAAACGTTTGCCGTGATGTTTTAAGTTGCCCTTATACTTTATTTCTTGGTAAATTAAGCTATAGTTGAAGCATCAGGTCGTCAAAAATTGACCCAAATTGTCTAGGGGTTAAAAATACTCACATTTTGGAAATAGATCGACGTTTGAAGAACTGGTTCCATTAATCAGTAAAAAAAATTAAATCTCGTAGGCGTGTTTTTTTAATTGAATGTACTTTGGTATCTCAGTAATGGACTAAGGAGTTATTTTTCAAAAATTATCAATGTCTCAAAATGCTACTTTTTATATTTGGGATTTTGATCTTGAACTTGAAGATCAAGATCAAGATAGAAGATCTTACCGAGCTAGATCAAGATCAAGATCAGGATCAAAAAGCTCTAGCCGAAGATCAAATATCAAGATAATATCTTGATCTGCTATCTGAGATAATGATCTTGCCCACCTCTGCATATGATACAGTTAAACACGCCAGTCTGCACGGCTCCAGTTTCTCACACTTAAAGATTTTGTATTAACATATAACAATTCTTGATTTGGATGATTAAGCTAAGGATTAGTGAACGTGATTACGGGTGCATGTAATCAATGAGAAAGAAGGAGCGAATAAGCTGAAAACATTTACATATGTACCAGACGAATCTGCAGAGGAAACTTTGTGTCGTGACTTGAGACACTCGTAAAAACAATCTTTACCATGTAAAAAGTAAATGTGCTCTGGCTTTGGCGAACGATTTCAAAATGAACATAATTGTGCGATTTTATCGAACTAATTTATCTCAAAGAAAGGAGCTTAGCCTTAGTTGATGTAAGCATGACTATAGTCGAGGAACTATAATCAAAGAAATTTTTACATAAGAAATACATATAGAAATGTCTACAATTTTACTGCTTCGACCATATATACATACATATAGCTGTGTCTTATCTGTGAATTTCTTAACTCACCGCTTAGTAACTTTCGGGTAATTTAAGTCTAATTTATTGAATCCAATTAACTACTTTTTCGGCGAAAACACACTACTGGTACCCACAATTTTTGTTTCCACTTAAATCATTAAACAGGCTACCAAACTTCATTTTCATTTATCAGACTATTTTCTAGCGTAAATCATTTAATTCTGAATTACACGTAATATTAACCAGGATAACAATAATTACTACATACAATTACGTCAATAAGAAATAAATCAATAAGTCCACGCTCTTACGTAGAATTACAAGAGATGTCGCCATATCGAAGAAGGTGCCATCACCCAAGCTCATCTTACATGGCGGGCAAGACCTAACGAATTTTCTCACCAAACTCGTCCCTTTTATCCTTTCTAACGATTTTAGTACCTCGATGGACTTAACCAATGGGCAAGCCATCATTTTGAAGGGTCCCACAATTATGACGAACATGTGAAGGGTGACCTGACAGAAGAGTAGAAAAACAGGCAGAGGAACTTCAGATGTTGGAACTATTAGTATGTACAGAGCAAAACTTAGACACACAGTTACGCCTCCGACAAAGACGGGCATAATCGGCTGACTCAATACGGCGTTGTGCATGATTGATAGAATTTGCAAAGTCCGAAATGTCCTCAGGTACGCGAATCCATTTTGCCATGCACGGTTAAAATTTCTGTCAAATTGTTCAGATTATGTATTATTGATGTTTCAATGCATATATACATACGTATCTAACCTGGCAATTGAATCCAGGATTATTAGCTTGATGACGGTGGGGTACACTAGTACGATGCCAACGGCGAAAACAACGTTGGCAGCAAGTTGGCCGGCTATGTACCCTAGCAAAATTGATAAACAAGTCTGGAACACGATTCCAATTTGTCCAACATGATCCCACGATTTGCATTCCTGACCCATCGAACTGGTTAGAGCGGGCGGCATGCAGGGTCGAATTAAGCCAAACGCGAAACCGATGATCGGTAAAATGCAGACCCCGATTATGCATTGTGCGATGAAACACAGGTAAAAAGTATTAACGCTGTCTTGGCCTGCAATACATATATATGTATATTTTGTTCATGTTATATTGTAACTTTTAATCACTAGCAACCTGGTAAACATATGTCACATAACCATTGATATAACAGTTAATATCCTTCCCAATAAGATTTTTCATACTCTAGCCAGCTCACCTTTCAAATTGACAGTTTGTTCAACTTGAATTCCTGAATTCAGTAACCTTATCGTTTCCTTCCTTAGCAACGAAAAGTGAGTTACGAAAAGTACACATGCGGTAAACAGGGTTATGCAGTAGTAAATGAAGACGAACTTCCATATTGGTGGGGATGGATTTACTGAGCTGAACCACTGTTCTAGAAGCAGAAAAACGAAGTAATCAATGCTGATAATTGAAAAGCTTAAAATGGACATGGAAACCATGGAGGGTTACCCTTTCGAGACTTCATTGTAGTTAGTCTTTCTCTCTGATGCATACTCTATGCTACGGAGTGAATTCGTCTATCAAAGTCTATCTATCATGTATTCGCTTGCTGCGGTCTTTTAAATATGCAAAATTAATTTATAAAAGGTTTTCAAATTGGAAACGTATTGCGTACAAAGTAATAAAGGGCAAAGGTATACGTGCACGTTTTTATACATGATTAACCAATGGAAGTCTGCGATATTGCACGACCTATGGAAATCTTGATCACAAATCTTAATCACAAATTGCGTTTGTTTGTAAGAGCCCATGATGAGAACGTCCATGAGCTTATACTATATTTATTTTTAATTCCTTCGAGAACCAAAATTAAATTTTTCATAATGCGCTAATTTGAGCGCGGGGCGCGAATTTTCAAACATTGTTTAGCCAAAACCTCGGTTTTTAAAAATTCTGTAAATTTTCGAATTTTAGCCCGAATCCAAAAATTCGAAAACATGTCTCTTCAGAATGACTTACTTGACTTACGAAAAATCCAATTGTCTCGAAATTTGATTTTCTAAATTTTTTGCCAGTTTTTGAAATTTATTAAAATTATAAACTCTTTCAAATTTTTAATTTTTCAAAAAATAATACATGTGGATTTTTCATAAGTAATTTTTCATAAGTGATTTTTCATAAAATTCGAAAATTTACAGAATTTTTAAAAACCGAGGTTTTGGCTGAAAAATGTTTTAAAATTCGCGCCCCGCGCTCAAATTAGCGCATTATGAAAAATGCAAAAATACGGGTATGCTTATATTTTGTGGTGAACAAAATAAAATTGGTCCCAACCAGATCTGAGTTGTACACGTAAAAGACTTGCATTGTAAGTGCAGGCACATCTAAATTTTAAAAAGATGTGCAGTCACTACTTAATTTTAAGAAGGGCTGAGTGCAGGTACTCCTTAATTTTGAGAAGAGTAAAAGCTGTCACTCCTTAATTTTAAGACTTTTAATCTTAACATGGGTAAGATAGTCGAGCCAATGAACTTTGTGGGGTGACCAGACTACTCATTAATAGAGATAGGCAGGCCAGCGGCGTTCCCCTGCCTTTCCGTTGCAAAGGATTTAATTTCACATCTCACTTTATAGATTCGATATTATCATTTAAAGTTCGACATTTTGGTAGTAAAAATTAACTTTGTCCATTCTTATCTACGTATTCCTAGGTACATATATTCTTATACTCCATAAAAATTTAGGTCTAACTTTGTATCTGACTAACCTCCCCATTGCTATATGTACATATTTATAAATGTGCTTTTAATCTGACCGAATATTCTTGAAATACATAAATCCTTCAGCATAAATTCTCGACTCTGTTGTGATATCTCAACTCCAGATATTGATTTGTTTGAATTTAATTTTGGTTCTCGAAGGAATTAAAAATAAATATAGTATAAGCTCATGGACGTTCTCATCATGGGCTCTTACAAACAAACGCAATTTGTGATTAAGATTTGTGATCAAGATTTCCATAGGTCGTGCAATATCGCAGACTTCCATTGGTTAATCATGTATAAAAACGTGCACGTATACCTTTGCCCTTTATTACTTTGTACGCAATACGTTTCCAATTTGAAAACCTTTTATAAATTAATTTTGCATATTTAAAAGACCGCAGCAAGCGAATACATGATAGATAGACTTTGATGGCGAATTCACTCCGTAGCATAGAGTATGCATCAGAGAGAAAGACTAACTACAATGAAGTCTCGAAAGGGTAACCCTCCATGGTTTCCATGTCCATTTTAAGCTTTTCAATTATCAGCATTGATTACTTCGTTTTTCTGCTTCTAGAACAGTGGTTCAGCTCAGTAAATCCATCCCCACCAATATGGAAGTTCGTCTTCATTTACTACTGCATAACCCTGTTTACCGCATGTGTACTTTTCGTAACTCACTTTTCGTTGCTAAGGAAGGAAACGATAAGGTTACTGAATTCAGGAATTCAAGTTGAACAAACTGTCAATTTGAAAGGTGAGCTGGCTAGAGTATGAAAAATCTTATTGGGAAGGATATTAACTGTTATATCAATGGTTATGTGACATATGTTTACCAGGTTGCTAGTGATTAAAAGTTACAATATAACATGAACAAAATATACATATATATGTATTGCAGGCCAAGACAGCGTTAATACTTTTTACCTGTGTTTCATCGCACAATGCATAATCGGGGTCTGCATTTTACCGATCATCGGTTTCGCGTTTGGCTTAATTCGACCCTGCATGCCGCCCGCTCTAACCAGTTCGATGGGTCAGGAATGCAAATCGTGGGATCATGTTGGACAAATTGGAATCGTGTTCCAGACTTGTTTATCAATTTTGCTAGGGTACATAGCCGGCCAACTTGCTGCCAACGTTGTTTTCGCCGTTGGCATCGTACTAGTGTACCCCACCGTCATCAAGCTAATAATCCTGGATTCAATTGCCAGGTTAGATACGTATGTATATATGCATTGAAACATCAATAATACATAATCTGAACAATTTGACAGAAATTTTAACCGTGCATGGCAAAATGGATTCGCGTACCTGAGGACATTTCGGACTTTGCAAATTCTATCAATCATGCACAACGCCGTATTGAGTCAGCCGATTATGCCCGTCTTTGTCGGAGGCGTAACTGTGTGTCTAAGTTTTGCTCTGTACATACTAATAGTTCCAACATCTGAAGTTCCTCTGCCTGTTTTTCTACTCTTCTGTCAGGTCACCCTTCACATGTTCGTCATAATTGTGGGACCCTTCAAAATGATGGCTTGCCCATTGGTTAAGTCCATCGAGGTACTAAAATCGTTAGAAAGGATAAAAGGGACGAGTTTGGTGAGAAAATTCGTTAGGTCTTGCCCGCCATGTAAGATGAGCTTGGGTGATGGCACCTTCTTCGATATGGCGACATCTCTTGTAATTCTACGTAAGAGCGTGGACTTATTGATTTATTTCTTATTGACGTAATTGTATGTAGTAATTATTGTTATCCTGGTTAATATTACGTGTAATTCAGAATTAAATGATTTACGCTAGAAAATAGTCTGATAAATGAAAATGAAGTTTGGTAGCCTGTTTAATGATTTAAGTGGAAACAAAAATTGTGGGTACCAGTAGTGTGTTTTCGCCGAAAAAGTAGTTAATTGGATTCAATAAATTAGACTTAAATTACCCGAAAGTTACTAAGCGGTGAGTTAAGAAATTCACAGATAAGACACAGCTATATGTATGTATATATGGTCGAAGCAGTAAAATTGTAGACATTTCTATATGTATTTCTTATGTAAAAATTTCTTTGATTATAGTTCCTCGACTATAGTCATGCTTACATCAACTAAGGCTAAGCTCCTTTCTTTGAGATAAATTAGTTCGATAAAATCGCACAATTATGTTCATTTTGAAATCGTTCGCCAAAGCCAGAGCACATTTACTTTTTACATGGTAAAGATTGTTTTTACGAGTGTCTCAAGTCACGACACAAAGTTTCCTCTGCAGATTCGTCTGGTACATATGTAAATGTTTTCAGCTTATTCGCTCCTTCTTTCTCATTGATTACATGCACCCGTAATCACGTTCACTAATCCTTAGCTTAATCATCCAAATCAAGAATTGTTATATGTTAATACAAAATCTTTAAGTGTGAGAAACTGGAGCCGTGCAGACTGGCGTGTTTAACTGTATCATATGCAGAGGTGGGCAAGATCATTATCTCAGATAGCAGATCAAGATATTATCTTGATATTTGATCTTCGGCTAGAGCTTTTTGATCCTGATCTTGATCTTGATCTAGCTCGGTAAGATCTTCTATCTTGATCTTGATCTTCAAGTTCAAGATCAAAATCCCAAATATAAAAAGTAGCATTTTGAGACATTGATAATTTTTGAAAAATAACTCCTTAGTCCATTACTGAGATACCAAAGTACATTCAATTAAAAAAACACGCCTACGAGATTTAATTTTTTTTACTGATTAATGGAACCAGTTCTTCAAACGTCGATCTATTTCCAAAATGTGAGTATTTTTAACCCCTAGACAATTTGGGTCAATTTTTGACGACCTGATGCTTCAACTATAGCTTAATTTACCAAGAAATAAAGTATAAGGGCAACTTAAAACATCACGGCAAACGTTTTGTTAAATATTATATACCTATACGAAATTTTAACGACGTTGATGCTGTCAGCTTTGAATAACTAAAGTTGGTTAGAAACCAATTTTGGTTACTTATCTAGTATTTGTAGCGTGCACAGTGCACACTATGTGCATTACACATAGTTGTATTTATCGGTTTATATATAACAAGCTAGAATTTAGATAGCATAGCTAGAATTTTTTTGATCTTATGATCTTCATCTTGATCTGACATTTGATCTTGATCTTGATCTTTTATCTTTAGTATTCGGCAGATTTATCTTGATCTTGATCTTTATCTGATGGGACGCAAAAATTGATCTTGATCTTTTATCTTGATCTCCGAAAACTTTGATCTTGCCCACCTCTGATCATATGTATTCTTAAACAACATGTAAATATGTAGATCCTCGTTGAGGAAGATATTTGAATTACTATCACAGGGGAAAATGTCAAAATTCTTAAAAGTTTTTGTAAGTAATCGGAAAACTGGAAATAATAAATATTCATGCACTGTTTGAAACAGTATAGCCTGGGTAGTCATTTCTTTATATTAAAATTATACCGAATTCCGTAATAACGTGCTACCGATATGGCAAAATTTTAATTCCCAGCTACATAATATGCACCGTGTTTAATGCCTATTAATAAATACTACTTACGTTGGTAGTCATATATGAACACCGCTCGCAACTATTTTAATACGGGATTTCTTAGAGTGTTAGTAAAAACTAAATATGCAGATAATATTTTTTGTAAAATTGACCCCTTTTAATATCACGTTTACTTATAGAATTGGTATACATAACTTACGTTAAAAATGATATCGTGGAAAGTCGACTTGTCCCCTTTTAGTATTAAAAGGGGGCAAATGAGAGAATATTACGATATTTATCATAATATTCTCTCATTTGTGTCCATTTACTACCCTTTGAAATATGTATGCATACGTACATAATTTCAGTATTAATCATGCTCATGGTAAGCTCTCGAGACGTCATTCACCTATGACCCAATTTGAGAACATGCATGCGAGTCCTCGCCCTCGTACTTGGAATCTTTGCTCCACGGAGAACAACATGTTTTTGTCTTCGTCTGCAATTATCCAGCTCAGTCTGGGCATGGATCACGTCATTTTTTGCTATAAAATAAACAACACCCGACTCGATAACCACCATTCCATTCACAACTCTGCAAATTAAAGAGCGGTTTTAAGTGAAAGAAAATTAAATACTGAAAAATGAAAGGGTTCACGATTTTTGGAATTTTTGCTGTGTCTTTCCTCCTCCTTTCGGAAACTTTGGCACACAGCAGCTCCGAAGAAGAGGGGGATAATTTTTTCCTGAATCATCGTAAGTTTATTTTTGTTTAAATTTCTGAATTTACTTACACTCTCAGAAATCCATTCGTAAAATAAAACCAAGCAGATGTATTACCCGTAACTACCAAATTGGTGTTTATAAGAAATATGTACACAGCTCGGTATGAAAGTTTTACCATATTGGTAGAAAATTTTTGCCAGCTTGCATAATTTTTGAACAAATTGAAGCAAATTTAGTATCGAGAGATCAAAATCTGCGTGAATATGTATACCAGATTTCTAACAGTGTTCCTGCATTTTACAAGTCTTTCATATAATTATCTATGTACTTTAATTGATAAATTTCACAGAGAGATGTCACTCTGTCGGGACTAAAGTCGTCATAACTCGTCCAGACGGATCGTCCGAGTCGTGCACTTGTCAAGCACCACCCACCACGACGACCGCACCCACCACCACGACCGGCAGACCGGGACGACGACCTCGGCCCGTTCCGAAACCCCGAAACACGTGGGAATGTACCTCCACTCTGGCCGGAAGTACGACAACGACGACCGCACCGATTACGGACACGACGATCACACCCACCACCACTACGGACCCCCAAGCTTGAAATCAATTATGGGAACCAAAAATTTTAGAAATATGTATTCTACCAAAATTAACTACAATTCAGCTAGTTTAATTTTTATTTTAAATTATTATAACACATTTTATTAACTTTATGTACACATATCTGACAATTTACATAGTCTCATGTATATGGTGTTAAAAATTGCATGTAAAATTGTTGCCTCGAGTAGGTGAAACGTAAATTTTAATAAATATAAAACGTCAGAAAACACATGTCTTAATATTCCTTTCAACGTATTTAATTAATGAAGTTTTTCTATAAAACTTCTTGCGGATGCGGATATATTTACATAAGCCATAGTATTAAATGCATCTTCGTGTTAAGAGTAGGTAGCAAGTTTATTTTTAGAAAATAAAAATACATGGTTTTAGCATTTAAAATTTTTGGAAAACTTCCACATTTATCTAGAATTTATCTATAAAAAATTATAACAAAATTTGAAGTTAATTAATTTCGTATACATACACACATGCATACATACATATTTTAAGATCTTACTGTAAATGCATACATTCGTGACGCCTTGTGTCGATCACTCATAACAAATTCTTGGCACGTTTCTCAAAACACGATGATCTCATCTTTGTTAAAACCTCAATTAACATTACGGTATCAAGTTTACGTGCAGGTTGTTCCTTTAATACGATTCAATTGCACGGTCGAGGTACATATGTATGTACATACATATTTATTAAGGGGTGAAAGCCCTTTATAAGATCGTTATGTCCGTCTGTCCGTCCGTCCGTCTGTCTGTCCGTAGCTCCAATAACTTTTGAACGAAAAGACATAGACACTTGAAATTTTGAACGTAAACTCCTAACGTCAAGGGACAGGACGAGTTCGAAGATGGACACTGTGACATCGTCACCTGTGACGATGACGTCGTCACAGTGACGAAAAGTGACGAAAAAGTGTCACGTGTCAGTTTTGGCATGTGACCCATCATTTTTAAGTATTTTTCAACGAGGAACTCGAAAATTCAGGTCAATTTGCGATTGGACGTCACCTGTGACGATGACGTCGTCACAGTGACGAAAAGTGACGAAAAAGTGTCACTTGTCAGTGTTGACATGTGACATGTCATTTTTAACTATCTTTCAATGTCAAATTCAATGGTGACCTCCATTTTGACCTCAGAGGTCATGTAAAGGTCATAGGACATATCTATTTCAATTTCAACTGAAATTTAACCCCGAATTCAATGGTGACCTCCATTTTGACCTCAGAGGTCATATAAAGGTCACATAAGGGTTATCAACTGTTAAATTTGACACAAATAAGACACAAAAGTCGAAAACACGTCAGAAGTGTCAATCTTAACAAATTTTCGAACAATTTGATATTCACATTGACGTATGACACTCCTTTCACCCCTTGGTTACATGCGTTGTAACGGTTTATTTGCTTACATATTGAACCTTAACTTCAGGATTAACTTTGATCCAGATTAATTAGCAGTAGAGTATGCATTTCTTTGTAAGGGTTTAGAAAATAACATCATACTGGTAATAATTATATTGAGCTATGATTTGTGATTCCTGAGAAATATGAGATTTCTTTGATTATGAGGTAAAATGAGACAAGTTTATTTAATAAATATGTGTTCAACCTTCCGACTAATTTCGACTCGACCTGATTTGACCAACTTTAATGAAAAATATGACCACTTTACCCTAATCGGTTCTATCCAGACAGCAAAATCCTTCAATTTCATATTCTAAAGCTAGTTTCGTCCAATAATATTTTTTAATGAGTTTACAATTTCATTTACCCACCATAAATCAAAATTGGCCAAGATATGTATCACATGTTGGCAAAATCGTGTACATTAATGACATCTACATACATAAATCACAAGGTGTAATTATCACAGTTTTAAAACCCTGTTCATACTGATTTAATATTTGTTCCCGTGTTCCCCAACACATTGGCAGTATACGAAATCTATACTTATTTATTTATTAGTCATCTTCTTTTCTACCAGGAATTGTTGTTGAACTTGATCAAAAGCTTACATATTTTAGACACGTATGTATGTAGAATTAATATACCAAACCGTAATTAGATTACTCACTTAAGACAGTAATTTAGCTCGATAAATGCGACTCAACGAGTCGGAAAAATACCAAAAAATCTTTGCTTAACTAGTGTGACAAATTGGGTTTACCAGAATTAAGCAACACAACGCACTCTTAGAAATCTGGTGCAGTCAGTCACGTATTGATTTCTCAGTATTAATTTAGCATCCGCTCGGTATAAAAATTATACATATTTGCTACCGATAAGATGAAACTTAGTACTGAGCTATTACATAAACACAAGATCGTCCTATTTACTGATCAATACACTCTTAAAAACCTGGTGCTAATCGTCACCGAGCAGTTTACACAAATATTTGTTTTCATCAAATGGTGATAAATCTAGCCCGCATGGAGGACAAATTGTTACTGGTTGGTGTAGCTTTTACCACCATTAGGTGAGCAACATTACCACCGCAAGGTTAAGTCACAAATGCACACCGCTCAGTGATGATTACTTACACTGAATTGGTAAGAGTGTATGTGCAATTTAGTAGAGTTATACAAAGCCGTTTGAGTACCGCTATAATACCGAATTTATAACATTATCACTTTCCTGTGAGAACAAATGTATCCGATAATTTCTGCACGACCCACTCCCACGTCATTTAAAAAAACGTAGTAAGGTCCACATTAATTCATCATGTCATCCCTCTCCTTATAAAATCTTTCTCCGGCGTCTCGGGACATTAATCTGTGAAGATTGCCAAACTTTAAGGAAAACAACTTTGTAGTGCCAAAAAAAATCAAAATTTTTGCAATGAAAACTTTCTTCCTTTTGGGAACTTTCCTCCTCTTTTCGGTCCTCATCCAGTCAGAAGCTTTCGGCTTCGGGTTTGGAAATGGCTCCGAAGAAGAAAGAAGCGTGCAAATATTGTATTTGAATCATCGTAAGTTAAAGGATCCTTAAATTCGGCGTATTCACGTCAAATGCCAGATCACAAATACATACATATTTCATTATGTTGATTCTGAAGTAAAAACGGTCCATTAAATATTTTTCAGTTAAATTCCCATACAAAGTCCAATCTTTTTCAATCAAACTGATTTGTTAAATCTCTCAAATTGAGCAAGAACAAATTCGCAACTCATTTTCTAACGAAATTGCTTGCGAAATCATAACAGATTGTGTAGCTTTTTTTAGGGTCAAATGCTATCATTTCAAATTTGATTTAAAAATCGTTTCATTCTATTTCTTCATTAGTGAGGTATCAAAGTTATGAAAATCTTTTCGAACGTACATCCAGTCGTGTAAAATACGTTTTCAAATTTGCTAACTAAAAACTTGCACAAATATTTCAGGAAATCTAAAAAAAATATTTTCTCTTTATCCAGGGCGATGTAACGCTGTCGGAACAAAAGTCGTCGTAACTCGGGCTGACGGATCGTCAGAATCCTGCACGTGTCAAGGACCACCCACTCAGCCACCCACGACGACGGGGACAAGTCCGATACCAACCTCAACTACGACCGCACCCCCTACAACTTCTGCGCGACGGGGTGGCTGGCGACCCCGACCGACGCACCCACCCCCGCGCCCAAGAAGCACGTGGGCATGCACTACTACCCCTTCTTCGCCAACGACCGTATCTGCCGCGCCCACGACCGTGTCTGGTGCGCCAACGACGGCAGTCCCCACTACGACCACTCCACTTGGTAACTTTTCTTACTACCTATACACTCTTAAAAATAATGTTAACCTACATATTGAAACGTAAATGCACGATGAATTTATAATGCATTTACGTTTCAAAGGTTAACATTATTTTTAAGAATGACAGTACTAATTTTGGACACAATTTACCCGGAAATTTATTAATTAAAAAATTACTTTACAGGAGGATGAGAAACTTCATATTTACCAACTGAGAAAACATTTTTGGGAATTTAATTTAATCGTTTTCTTAGGCATTAGAGCGATTAATTTCTGCTTGCCTTTAAAAATTGTATAGAAGAATTATTTTCCAAATTTAAAACTAGCAATAGAATTCTAATGCTATTTCGGCTCTAGTTTGATAAATTATGACGAATTTAGGGAAATTAAACATTATGTACATTTGCATATGTAGTTAAAAATGTGTAAATTTTACTTGCTCTGCTGAAATTCTAGTCAGCTTAATAAAAGTTTATGTAAATGCGTTCAGAAATTAAAAAGTAGACCAAAATTAAATAAATTACAGAAACTTGGTATGAAAGCATATGTCATATTTGCATACATATATTTATGAGTATTTTTTATTCTGACATATTTGACAGTTAGTTACCCCAACCTCATCACTTAAATGCTATCATCATTAAGTGTGAACACAATGTCTGTTAATTGCCGACTCCCAATTAATGTATGGAACAAAATCCCGTTTTTGTCTTCGTACAGCATGGTTCGATAAACTTCTGCTTGATGCAGGTATTCTGTCGTAACACCCTGAAAAATACGAAAAACATAACTATTTTCTAGACATGTACATACACCCTTAAAAATAATGTTGCCCTTTAGCAATGTAAAATCAGTCTGAATTCTAAATAATTTTAAGTAAACTAAATCAAGAGTAAATTATAATCTTTATCCATATTATGTAACCATTCATGTGTCCAAACGCTGTGGCTAACATGGCTATGATGCAATAAATCAATTATTATATTATAATTTTTATCAGGTTCACCTTTACTGGGTTTAGTTTAGTTAACTTAATTTAGAACCCAGACTGCACTTATTTTCCCGGAAGAGTAACATTATCTTTAAGAGTGCACATAAGTATGTAGTTTCCGTAATCAGATCGATCCGACGACTTTTTTTTAGAAACGATAATAACTCATACTGAATACCCCCATTATTCAGATAAAAGCTTAAAATCTGTTTTTGCTGATCAAAACGGAAAATTTAGTCACCGTGTCGATCCGCCGGATTGGAATGATTGGTATTAAAGATATTAATTAACAGCATTATCTAGGGTAAGTACATACATCAAGTTCGAAGTGCACATCCACCCATTTACTTTTGGCCACATTAATAGGTTCGGGAAGCTGAAGGTCGATATGATCTTGACCCCGGATTAGTCCGCGACGAAAAGTGGTTTCCTCCATGAGCACGTGTTGCATGGAAGGAATGCTTCGTCTCCCGCCAAAAAGTGAGTTCCAGATTAATTCTGGAATTCCGAGTGGCTTGTCAGGTACTCTTTGATTGATTTTAATGGTGACAAAGTATTCAATTTTAGTATTCTCTCGGGAGGAAGAGTGCGGTCCGAAAAATCGGAAACCTTGGAGTAAAATATCCATCGAAGGGGCAAATCTGAAGTTCAAAATAAAATAAAAACAGTCAAGCAAGTATTTGTCGTATAAAACCATGGAAAAGAAGGTGGAGAACTAGAAGTTGTTTAGTTTAGCGGGAATATCTCTAGTAAGAGTGATAGAAATGGAATGAAAAAGAGCCATCTAGCGGATGATCGCTAGTATGAAAAGCCAGCAATTGTGTAAGTAAATCACATGTCTTGCGTCCCTCCCAATTTGTATTTCTTGCAGTTACGTGTATGTACATACGTATGTATGCTCTCATGTAATGAGCAAACAAAACAGTGTTTATTGACCTCAAATGTAACTATGGGGTGTTCCATAAGTATTCAGAATTTTTGCATTCGCTACTATAAATTAAAGTAACCAAGTTATGTAAACACAGTTTAGGCCTGAAGTAGACAAGGGCTGAAACTAATTATTTTTTGCTTCAAATGGTTCATGCACCCCGTTCCGCCGCGAGACCTCCATAATGGAGGCTCCATTACGAGTAAATTAAATTCTGCATTCACAAATTAAATACAAATTTCATAACGCTATACTTAATTAAAACGTACGAGAAAGTATGCATGATTCCTTGAAATGATTTCCCCTCAAGATGTGTGCAAAACAGACGACTCCGAAGCTGTCTATTAAGCCGATTCATTTTCGTGTTAATTTTTCCGGCTGAGGTTTGTGCGCTTGGGATCGTGGGGTCCACTTCCTCCATCCATTTTTGTAGGAGCAATTTCAATTTTAATGCGTTTTTAACGCTCAGCTGCATCGCCTCGAACCGATAAATTGTCGTTTGACTGAACGATGTCCCACAAAGGGGTTCTATTTATCACAACGAATTTTTTTACAAAACATAAAGTATCACGTCAATACGGTTAGTTATAAAATCTGGGCAAGAGGAAATACTGTGGATAAGAAATATGGATGAAATAAATATGGACAATTTGAAATTTATTTCATTTGTCCACATTTTGTCAGGGTCGTACACAAGAAAAATAGATCAAAAGAAATGAAAATATGTTTACATCTCTATCTTCCATTTGTCCACATTTTGTCCGGGTCCCTCACAAATATTTCAAGGTCTTACCAAGAGCTAATCCCACATCGAAATGAGTAACCCCTAACTTGATTCTCATTTCTTTAAATTTTTTGACAAATGCTTTCAAATCGTCGGAACTGAATTCTTCTTCCAAATAAGTGAACGTCATGGTAGGTAACCCTACTTCGCCGGCAAGTTGTTCCATTTTATTTTAAGTTACAGCCAGCAGTGCTATAAAATATGAAAACATTTCCTACATACATTGTACATAAATCATGCGTTTTAATTTCGAAAAAATCAGAACTTACATAAAGTTATAAAATAATTTTTTTAATATGTAATTCGCAATTGTTTTTTAAATTTCTTTACTAGATATATACACGTCACAAATTGTCGGTCTTTAATTATTTATATTCAACACAAAAACATTGTTTGTAATTATCTATTATTATGATTACAGAAAATTGATATGATGAAGTTGTTATGATTAAGTAATTTAATTCATACAAAGGTAATTTGCATGTGAACTGGATTAATGAAAATTATGTAAATCCACTGACTTGTGTAAGTATCAAATTTTAATAAAACACAAAAATATGCCCAATATACTCTGTGAGCCATGAGAATTGGAGGAATTTATTTAATAGAAAGATATTATGCTATACTGAACTCCAATAAATGGCGAAGAGATCTTACATGTTATCGTTTTTTTCTGCACGGACCACATGTGACATAAAATTAATCGTGCATCGATCTCCTTCTTCTCCAAGGACAGGTTTCCATGCGGAGGCTGGTATAATTTGTGTGATCTCAACTGTTTGTGGACCATACATACTTAAACGAAATGCTTTATACGAAAGCATGCCGATGTATGTATGTATGCAAGTATCGAAGTGAGGAAATACTTGTACTTATATGTATATGCAAATATTTTTAACTATTTACATCGTACTTGATTATGTGCGAACTAAAGTAAAAATAGATAAAATAAGGCAAATTTATATTTGTCTCGAAAAGTAAGTAATTATCTCTAAAATTAGGGTAGACTAGTTCCTAAAATTCGAATTAGTATGGAATTATGCGAAAATCTTGTTACATAGATGTACATTCATACACATGCTTTATTTGTTTACAGCGAGTGGACAAGTTACAATAAACAAAGCGAAATCTTGTCTCGTTATGGAGCGTGCATAAAGAACGTCTTCAAAAAGGTGGGTGGAAAGTTGGGGGTGGCCTATCTTATGCGAGTTAAGCTTAACATGAGAAGGATGGCGAAGGGTTGGGATAAGAATTGGCGGTTCTTGATGACGTAATATATGGACGTTCCCTTGTGTGGAATATAGATATTTACGTATGCATGCACAACTCGTTACACATACGAATTTCACTTACTCGTCTTAAGACGTGAGCAATGCATACATGTGGATGAAATATTGCTATGTTAAGATTTCCTAATATACATACATATGTCGATTTGTGGGTAAAATCGGACACTATTTATGTTCAGATAATCATCCAATTTTCGATAAAGCATGCCTTATCGGATAATACGGTTATTTAATTAACGGTTAGTCACTCACGTTTTACTTCTTTCCATCCCGTCTTCCTTGCAAGTTTCCCGAATATATGTAGGTACATGCAATTTATTTAATATCTCAATGAAAGCCTCTCAGCGTAGGTTTCCCGATTTCGACTAAAATAGTGTAAATCAATAACAAATTAAATTGATATGAAATTTGCATAAGGTTCTACATATCTGCCAATGGTCAGGTTTAATAGAGATATTCACTTTGTGGGATGACCAGACTACGCATTAGTAGAGACAGCCAGGCCAGAGGCAGTAGCACATTAAAGGCTAATTGCCATGTGTCGTGATGAAGTAGTTTAATTGATAATTTATATATGCACTGGACAGACAGATATTTAGTTTATCGAATACCAGGATATATTAACCGGAAGTACACAACTTATCAACCTTCCACACAGTGAAAAGTGCCAAAACTTAATTTCCAAATTTGACTAAACATTTATGTTATGTAAAAATAAGCCAAATCTATGTACTTTGTCGGCTGTGAGCACGGTCAGAATTACCAAAAATTTGTATAGCCCCGATTCAGTCAAATATGTATTTATGTATATATTCGCCGCCATTAAATCTCACCCTAGCTAGGGTGAGATATCTAGGCATAGATATTTCTTAAATATTGATTTCATTCCATTCAGTTCTGAAATGTTGATATATTTTGTTCAGCCATCAATCTCGTCGCATACCAAATCAAACACAAAATAATCTGACTAAAATTATTGACAAATAAATCCATATTTTATTTTATTTCATAAAACATCGGAACTGGTTTTAATTATTTTTAGTATTTTTTCTACTTTCCCTTAGACTTATTTAGCGCTCTCACTTTTTCCCTTTCAGCAGCAGATTTGCAAGTGGCCGTCTTACACTCATTGATTGCTTTTCTGTATCTTTCATCAATTTTATCCTGCGCTGATGGGCTAAGTTTGCCCTTTTCTGGCTCAATCTTATCATTGGATTCGACTAAAGTTTCGGACTCCTCATTCAAAGCAGCATCCCCATTAGCCTTGACGTCTCGACGCTTCCTTCGGTTTAGTGGGTTGTTGGCGGCGACAAAGTCTTCAAATATTTTCGTCGCTTTGGCAATTTGCCCCGTAAGAATTTCCACGATTTTGCCACCAACTTCGGCATTGTCAGATTTGGCGATGTCTCCCATATCTGTGAGCGCCACGGTGATCAGGGTGACGAGATCTTTGAGCTGGTTCGTGTAATCCATAACATCTCCAGCTACTGGCATGGAGGAAGCGGCCTTTGAAAGGGGAACGGATGGGATCGAAGGAGCGCCAAATCCGCCAAATTGTGGATCTACAATGAAAATTTTGAGTTTTTTTAGCCTTTATTAAAAACTTATGAGCACACTTATGTTGATACGTTTTTTCAAAATTTTCTTCTGGTCGATATGTAATTACATAATACTTATTAGGAGCCTACATACTCATGGAATGACTGACCTGCAGTGGCGGTGCCTGTTCCAAGGGAGAACATCAGGGCTACAAGAATTCCAGGGCCCATTTTGGCTGTTTTATGAATTTGAATTTGAGCCTTATTTTTTGGAAATGTTCCCTGTAGTGTTGTTTTATTTAGTAATTCTGCCCAGGAGCCAGGCGCAGTGCGAATTAATCCTGGCGATCTCAAAGAACTTGGTTTTATGTATTTATCTATGCACATTTTTCCACAGTTATACTAATTATGTATTACCTCACTTAGCAACAGCTAAAAAGCAATCAGTCATTCCAACAAATCGCATTCAATTCTTTCAAGGTTCCATCCAGGTCCATTGCAATGATTAGCATCTTAAAATCATCAAATTCTCAACTCTTTCCCTCCCTGCCATGTATGTAAGTGAGTACATAAAGCCATGGGAGACCGTACATACAGGCGAAAGAGACTCGTTAGTTTTATTTTATTTATCCAGCGAAACAAAAGAGGAAGAAAAAAGGCGAGGTTGAGACGATCTTATTTTATGATATTGCCGTGCCGTGCTGGCCGGCAATTATTTTCTGCAGAATGAAATGAGATGTTGCAAAATTATGCGTTATTAAGACGAAATAATTATAGTATTTATTCATTTCATAGCTTCCAGGCCAAAATAAGTATAATGAAATGAAATGAAATGAATGGTTCATGCATGCATAAAAACTACATATAATATATGCATAATGTGCATACTCTCACGTAAAAATCGAATTCAGAATATATCTGCATACATACTACTTCGTCAGACTGGAAAATAAAATCGACATTTAAATAGAACAAAACCACCTAAAACCAATACTAGGAAAGGAAAATTGTCTAACTCGTATCTGTATTTTAATTCGTATGCACACATTACGAAATATGTATGCAATTACGAAATGTGTATACAACGATGCAGTATATAATTACATCAAGTAATAGTAATTCTACTCAATCTAAAAGTCAATTTAACAATGTCTCAAACATATTGTTGCATGCATTCATTGCGAAACCAACTGACCAATCAATCAATCCTGTCCAGTCCTCTGAGCCAACCTGGGCTTAATAACGTCGTCGACAATGTCCCCATAGCGATTCTCTGACGCGGTCTCTTTATAAGGGTCATTGACCACATCCTTTGCAAACTTTGTGCTTTTAAAGACAAAGAGATGATTCGTATCATTGTTGGGATCCTCGACCGCGTTAAATTTGGGATTTGGTGTCCAGTCGAAGTGTTGGGAGCCTATGAGTATCCATGCGGTGTAGACGGAAAGGAAAAGGATGAACACTAGGGCAAAGAGCCAGAAGGCGTATCTTCGCGCTTTATCCACAAGATTGATAAAGGTGTCACTCTCGTCCAGGTGGCGTTTCTGCTTTTTCCCCTCCTTTTTTGGAAGCGGGCGCGATTCTTCTGTTTGGTCTCCGTTTGGCATGCCAAGTTCTCCCTGGAAATAAAGAAATTTTGAATTTGAATTTCTACTAGAGTTGACTTAGTGTTTTTTGTTTGGGTTCAATTGACTTTTGCTACATTTGTAATTTTTAAGAAAAAATAAAATGATGCATACATTCTCAGCTTGCTCTTTATTTCCCTTAACCTCCTGAAATTGTTGAAGTTTTCTCTGCATCCTAGTAAAACAAGGAGACACTGTACAATTTTTCAAGAACCGAAGTATAAGCATCTACTCAATTCATTCTTCACTATTACATGTATATTACCAGTGAACAACCGTGAATAAAACTAACGCCAGGAAGACTAGCCCAATGCAGAATACCATCCAGATGTCGATCGCCATCGTGTAACTCACTTCTGGGGCTTGTTCTCTATTTAAGCAGAAGAGAGAACACACCGATCCAAAATTATTGGGAGAGAAGAGAAAGATATGCAAGAAAATACAGCTATATCACTAAGCAATAAAATTGCAAAAATTTGAAAATCAAAAGCACCCACCTACCTGACAGCTGCAAACATGGCGGTGAGAGTGAGTAAAGTAGTCATACTGATTCCGATCCGTGCCTCGACCATATCCACCGGAAGCAGGAAACACAACCACGTGATCAACATGAGCAGCACGGCGGGAAGATAAGTCTGAACAAGGTGATAGGTCAGATTTCTTCGGATTTGAAGGGTAAAGTGTAGCGCAGAATAGTTGGCTATGTACATATTTAGTTTTAGTTTCGCAAGCAAAAAACGGAATCAATGAAACTGAATTTAAATTTGGAATTTAAATTGTTCCAAAAATAACGTGTATTTATCTGTACTACTAAGTTCTGGGTAACGTATTATCTGCGATGTGATGTAGAAATCCTCCAACTCCCCTCCCGGCTCGACGGAAGAGATTTGAAAGTCAAAATTGGAATCGGCAAGTTGATCCAGGTAGATTGAATGAATATTGTCCCACATGAGAAAGAGTTTGTCTTGGGGATAAGAATCTATACATGACATAACGAATGTAATCAGGGAAGAATTTCATATTATGCAGATATTTCGTTACAAATTTAACCTACAACTTCGAATGTTAAAATCGCATGTCTGAATATCGGCGGGGTAATAGTGAAAATCCATGTCACATCTCAATGTTAAGGATTGTCTGTAAATCAAAATATTAGTTTCATAGGGTTGAAATCGATGGAATCAACTCATCTAATTCTGCCATACCACAAAAACACAATTGGTAATTCTTATGCACGTAATTTGCAATTGCCATATAAATCTTACCTTGATTTAAAGGAAATAGTTCCCGCTATAGCCTCATTCCCTACGAGGAACTTTAACGTGATTAATTTCGAGAGAAGCGACGTCCTATCAACCGACGCCATTTCATCTATTAAAAGGTATCTTTGTGCAAATAAAAATTTCAAGACCGATCCGTAGATTTGGATTAAAAAGTTTCCATGGAGACGGACCGATATAAATGTCCGGTTTCCAAATGTTTCGTAGTACTTCAGAATCTAGGACGATTTCTTCGTCACCACTGTTACCCTTCGCTTGAGCCGCCGAATCGTTCATGTAATTACTCCAGATTTCCCAATCTATCCAACTGACTCCGACTTCCGTGTCGAGTTCCACTGTCTACATGCAATTTTTATATACATTTTGAATACATTTTTTGAATCGATATGAAAATTTATTTACTTCGCCTTTCGTATCCACCCCCAACACTTCACGAATTCCCAATTCGACGTTGACGAAAATCGAAGGGGACACATTCCCCAAAGGAAGAACCAACTTGTCGTAACCGGCTGGGATCGTTAATGTTCCAATTGTAAAACTACCATTTTTGGAAATTCTATTATTTTTTCCGGCTGTAGAAAGAGGCTCCACAAGTTCATCTCGGCGGTCTTGATCTCCTCCGATGAGAGCGGAATTTGTATCCAGAGGAGAACCGGAAGTGGTGCAAAGGAAGCCAGTAAAACTGTTAAACCATTGGCGACAAAGATTCACATGTGGAGTAGAAGAGCAAAATCAATTAAATTCTTTTTTGAAACATTCACAAATTTTAACACTGCTGAAGGTCTGCACTTCCTTCTGTCCATTCACAGCGGTTTATGAAGTAAAAAAATCATAAATTATCATCATACCTCAATAAAATCAGTAGAAGTAGCAAAATTTCAAGAGGGAACCGATCCTTTTTTCCTGCTCCTCCGTTCATACTTGAATCGCGTAGAGCTCCAAATTATTCACCACCTTTTAAAAGAGATTCACTGACACTAATATGTAACAATCAGCCAGTTAACTAACACTCCGTCCAGCAAGATCATGCAGTGACTGGAGGAACGATGCGTACAGAGCATTGACAGCGAGTCAGTTGAAAGGATTAAGAAAATGAAGGAAATTCACAAATCATACGAAGAAGTGAACATTGAAATATTCAATGAATGAAACTAATGTGAAATTTTTGAGATCAGCCAGTCAAGTGGTCAAGGATTTTTCAGTCAGTCAGGTCACCAGATTGGTTAAGTCTTTTTGGGTGCAGAATAAGATAAGATGATATTTCATCCTATTCCGTCCAGCAGTTGGAATTGGAATACTGAATACAATACTACCAGCACAGAACACATGCATTATGCATGGACAAACACATTTCAAACCCATTTAAAGCTAAAAGCAAAAACTCAAGGTAAGCAGGTAACTAGAGAGTAATAAGCAAACGGCGGATATGAATGTATGTATTTAACACTTTTTTTATACCAAATCAGATCGTACTAAAACCTCGTACACTGATAACCAATCTAAGCTCGATCGCAAAAATTCAAACGTACATAGTTTTCCATATTTTACATATTTCTAAGTTTTCGCACATATTTAGAAAAATCCTCAAAATATGTATACAATATTTCTGCGTATATTTTCCTGTATATTTCGAGTATTTTTCTAAATCTAAATAGTTTAGCAGATATTTTGAAGTTTTTTTAAAACGAAGAATTTAAAAATATTTTTCTTCACTTAGAAATTAAGGTAAGTTGAAAACATTGTTTATGTGCATAATTTCAGGCTTTTGAAGTACACATTACATACATATTTCGCGGAATTTACGTAAATTCATATCCGCCCTCTGGTAATAAGTCGTAATCATTTACGAAGTCGTTATGGTGTGTGCATTCATACATATGCATGTACATAGGCATATACATATCGTCAGAATATTGAAATGTTGCAAAATTTACGATGCGAGATGTGCATAATTGCATTCCACTAATTAACTCCTTTCCCCGGCCGATCGTGGCGATTTCGCTCCAGTTGTTACTACCCTATTTCTTATTGTGTTCATGTACTTGTCCAAGATGCTGCTAAATGTATTTCACCCACCTTTACATTTACATTAATAGATCGACATGTTCTTCATTGGTGTGCATGCTTACTTATTTAGTTCTGAAGCACTAAACAAAGACTACCATTAATAGACTTACTTAATGCTACCTCGCTTAATGTATGGACTTCGTTAATCTATAATTAAGTAAAGCAAGCTACATAACTCATGTCATCAACATGTAACGTTCTTCGTCCGTCCGTTTTGCCGTATTCACCATCATTAATTCACAATCTGTAGATCTGTAGTCAAAAATTAAATTTCGAACTCAACATACAAATTTCCAACTTTCGGCACGCTGTCGTCGTCAATTTAACGATTTATGAATGAATGAATGAATGAATTAATTTATTGGTATATTTTTGAGGCCGCTTACAGACCCATGAAGGTAAAATTTTATACAAGCATATATGCAAGTCAAGTTGGTCACAACCGGTAACGATTTATACCGAGATATATATATATATATGTAATCATCCAATTGTTAAAGCATGTCTCATTTGGGTGACACGATTGATTACTTTGAGGATGAGTCGAGGCATGCACTTTTTTGCGATTTCCTTCCGTCCCGTTTTTTTGCAAGTTGCCAGAAGATTTTCTGAGACCGAATTAAAATTCAAACGGCGTGACATAAGGGAAGTTTGGTACATACATACCTATGCGCATATGTATCAGCTTGTATTGTGAACGTTAAGCTTAACCCAAACACCATCAAGATGTAGTTAAATACACTTGTAGAAACGGGGTTACGATTATAACCAAAAGGCAAACGCACATATATGACTCTACCGACGTGGTTAAAATTTGTCTTCGAGTACTTAAAATTGTCACCGACTATTATCTTTATGTAAAGCTTCACCGAATTGGTATTAAATTGTCATCAGAGCTAAATATTAATTTTCTAAACAGTTGGTGTCAAATTCATAACCACGGCGGTAGAGTCATATAGATGTCTACATTTTGATAATAATGGTAACCTTATTTCTAGGAGTCTACATACTAAAATCACTCCATCAATGACTCGTACAAATTATACATATTTTTTGTCCCGAACACTACATAATTATCGTAAAAATAAGGACGAGCTCTGAAACCAGAATGGTACAAAATTGGGCTAAAACACATGTTTCATTTGTATACAGTAACGGGAGAAGTTAACATAAACAAAGGAATCTCAACGAAATATGCCGTATAGAAAGGGAACGTTCATAAATTGTGGCACCAAAAAGGCTGATTTTTTTACCATCTATCCTCTCCTTCCTCATCTTAATTTTTACACGAGCAGGACAGACGGCCCAAATCGACCCAAAAACCTTTTTGATGACGCAATATATGGACGTTACTATGTGCATGGATTGATGTCCCACTCGTGAACTCACACATCCAGGAACTTCAAGAAAATATACATGAACTCATCTTCAGAGATGAGCAATACCTTTGTGTGAGGCATCGCACAGTTGATGATTTCCCAATATTTCGTCATGTAGCTGCATTCATTTGTGGTGAATTCTACCCCAAACACAATTTAGAGCTACATATATAATCACCCGATTTCCGATAAAACGTGTGTCTCATCGGGGTGACACGGATACTTTTTAACGAAAAAACGTGTCCATGAGTCACCCACTTTTTGTGAGTTTTTTCTTGCCTTGTCATTTTCATTTAGTAGGATAACCGAATATCCATAAGTAAATATCGTGCACTTTTAAGCAAGTTGGTCATCCAAATCTGTTCCTTACAAAATTAGAAAAATCCACTGAAACTCGGTGTAATTACTTTGTAAGGATATGTAAAACGTGATCATGAGTCATCACGTGACCCCATTTCTTTACAGGATCCCCGCATTTAAATAAATATGGTACAGTTTTACTCAGTTTTTCGCAAGTCGTGTATCCAGATCTGTTCCTCGAAAACACAAGTTCCCACCAGTTGCAAAATTCAAGCCTGAATTTTTGTCATTTTTTCGCGTAAAAGAATGATTCGTATTGAAACCTCGTGTGTAGAGAAGATCAGTGGAATAATTTGCATAAGCAGTATTTCATACCCAAGATTACTGGATTTTCATGGTACATATGCACTTAATTACATATTTTCCTCATTTTCGTAACAAATTTAATACTTTTTTTCAATTATCAGCCCTGGTTCTGGAGCTGGAGGGGAGCCTCACTATTTCGACTGGTAACCAAGAAAAATTCACTTCTCGGATGAAAGAACTTTCACCGGAAGTTAGTACCAAATCGGTCTGTAATTCCAAAGTGTTCACCGTGGTGGGTCCATGTCGACGTATGTAATTCGTCTTATTTTATTTTTAAAGGAATATTACGACCTTAATATATTTGTCTAGCCATGATATCATTTAAAAAAAATATTTACTTCAAAATTCATTCAAAATTCATTTACTTATTCCAAATTTGATAACAAGTATTTATTCATTACTTATTTTATCCCGATTCCACCTCAAATTCGCCTCATGGAGTTCTCAATATACTCCATGAATGTATTTATTAAGCATTTAGTCAAAAATGAATAATGAATAAAATTATGCATTCATTCTTCATGAATATCAAATGAACAAATATGTGCATATTTATTCAACATTTCTCGCAGATCTTACTCGCGGTGAAATTTCTGCCAGCACAACACCATGCTACCATTATTTTCAAGACACGTACCGATTTACACTACCCCTTCCGCAAAATGTGAACCAACTTCCGTCCAGTTTGGAGTCTCAAAATCTGTCAATTTCTTATTCCCTGATTTTATATGGACGAACGGCAACCAGCTACGAGCAACTGGACTCTTGCCGTGTCAAAATATTTGGCCACGATTTAATCAATTTTCCCGCCGAGATTGAATCCATCTCGGTTACCAGTTCAAACTCCCCGGTTCATTTGGAGCCACCCACCCCAGAAAAGTACCACTTGGTCAGGGAACCCCGCTTTTTTGCGAATTTTGAAGCCACCCGGAATATTCGAGATAAAGTCGCTATAATTGTGAAGCTGTTGGACACACGAAGTTTATTTTGGACTCAAATGGAGGACAAGCTTGTCATGGATGCAGAATCGTTTAAAGTAGCCCGCCAGCGGGGAACGTGTCTCACTCCGACGCATGAGGGGAAAATGGTGGACAAAAATTCAAGCGTAAAATTGGTCCCGTTTTATAATCAAAGAGGTGAAGTAATTTCAGGCCTGAAAATTCAGCACTTTGTAAATGTAAGTAAGCAAAATACTAATTATGCAAAGGTTTGTGGATCAATTTCACTGCTTGCATACATATTTAGAGTAACATTCAGACAACTCACGCAGTTCTTTGTAACGTGTAAAATTCGTGTCCTTTTGTAAAATAATTTTACAAAACAAAAACACGTCGGGTTCATACATATAGTTTATAAAAATTCGGAAGCTAATTTTCCTTCGAAGTATTTTAAAGACTTTTTAAGTTTACGGAATTTGCATTTATACAATTTTAAAAAGGCCTGCGTCAACTGGCTCAATATTAAACATATTATTAAATTAACAAATCACGGCAACATGATACCTGATATTGGGGGCTGGTTACATGCAAAATTTCAATTTAATCAGCTATGGTTATTTTACTCAGGCCAGAATACAGCTACCTGGGGAAACTGATCCGAGCGTAGCTATGGAAATGATGCGGGAAGTGATAATAAGAGCGGGAAACTTAGCGCACGGCTCTTCCACTTTTGAAATTAGGCGAAGCACGGGTAGTTTACGGGAGCCAAGAAGACGTGAAACTACCCGTCGCAGTCTGTCGAAATTATTGTCAGGATCTGTTTCATCGTTTCGGGCACTAGTCCTTCATCCATTCCACGCTCATAAAAATTCAAGAAGAGGATCCAACATTTCCACACCAACATGTAAGTTTTACTGTTGTAATTTGTATTTGAAATTGAGTGTTCATAAATGACTATTTAATTTCAGTGCCAGCTCACTTTGATAACATGGAACCTTTTGATTGTTGAAGCCGGAGTTAGTATCAAGGTTTATTTATATATTGTTCTCCCGTTTTTCTAACGGTTTGGACCTATAATTGTAACCTTAACTACGTATAACGTATTTATCATTTTAGGGAATCAGTCAAAAATCATCCCCATGGGACGAATCTAGATGCAGCTTAACTCTTACGAGGGCAACAATCCCATATTTATTGCTCCTTCGAGGCGATGCCAGTTGAAAATGAAATATTTATAAATATTACACTTTCTAACAAGATAATGTCTGTAATTTTATTGATCAAAAAGCAAATTCTTCTAGGTTCTAAAAAATATTTCACATAGATTGAAAGCATATACAGAGATTATTCACTTTTTTATATGATTTTATATGAAAGTATGATTGCAATATTTTAAATGTTTTAACAATTTGAAATATCTGCGGAAAAATTAGGACCTAAGAAGCCAGTGTTGTTATCTTCTCCTCACGTATTTCTCACTTTCAAAAACATACCTGTAGAATTTGACGAATCAAACACGAGAAGTAAATTTAAATTAGGTGCCAAAATCTCTTTACCAGCCGCGCAATCGCTCTCACATCAAGCTTAGCCTCAGCTATAAGAACGACCCCAAACAGGATCATTGTTATTCCCACGGTGTAAAAGAAGGGTAACAGCGTGTTTATAGAAATATAGGGTGACGCCACTCTCAGTTGTGGCCACTTCATCGCCGACATCCTAATGTTATATTTGTATTGCTGCCTCCACAAGATGTTAAATCCTCCCTGCTCCAGACCTCTGATACTTTCACCAATCTCGAACCGCAATGCGTTGTTACAAACGCCGAAATAGGCGTTGTTCAAAGCAATATCACGAATCAAAAAACACTCATATTTTCCATTCAATTTTTGATTTTGTAGCTTGAGAAGAGCTTTAAGTGCGTAATCTGTATCGTGGGAGAGAACGAAATTTTTTGGACTATTTTTCGTAACATATGCACTATGCAAGGGACCGTGGCTGCTGTAAGTAGAACAAATAGTATACCATGTTGAACAAACTAGGTAGCAAAAATTATCGAACCAAACCTAAATATTTCTGGCGATCAGGGTGCTATAGACACCAAATTTTGCACAAAATACGTAAGACAATGAAATTCGGTGAAGGGATTTCCCATGCAGAGTTAGCTTAAAGTCATCTTGCGACCAGAGTGTAGTCGGATCAATGATTCAGATTGGCTTGGATCGAATCCGATTATATCTGGAATCATTTTACCCTAATTAGTGTAGTTGGATCTATGTTTTTTGGAATCCAACTCGGATACGGTTCTTTGGTGCAAAGATATTTGTGGTGCACGTAAGGCAATGGCAGGAAAAGACGTAAGGGTGCGAAGGGGAGCGCGCTGTTTCCTTCCCTCGCCAAAAAATTTCGACATAAGAAACATTCACGCTTTATAATTAATAAGCAAGCGATAAAGGTAAATGATTTGTTAAGTAAGTGTAACCTCTTGAAAATACGTGAGCGTCGTGATCTATTTCTGTATAAGTATGCTTTTAAACATCTTCAAGACCAAATAAGTTCCTCTTCAATTAGACGTTCTTGGCCACTCTTATCGGTAAAATCATGTAATTTTGCCCAAAAATTTATAAATCATCGCGCTACCAAGTTATAGAATAAACTCCCACGCGATTGGGACCCAAACTTGACCTACAAGAAATATGTACAAGCCGTCCGTGAACACATCATTAATGCACGTGATGACTAATATTGTTATTAAGTCCATTAGATATTTTTTAGGTTAAATATATAGTTTTATCTACTTGTGTCATAGTTTTTAAACCAGTTTTGTAAACCGATAACTATTAACACGTGAATAAAGGTTTAAATCATACATAAATCATAAAAATCTTATCTTGAAGCTCGCAGGCTAGCTAACTCACTCCCTTCGAGCAGTTCTATTTGTATCTCAATTCTTTCTTAATTATATTAAGAGTTCCTCATTCTCCTACGCTAATAGGAAATTTTGTTACCACGGAAAGTTAGTCTTGTACGGAAAATCCCTTCACCTTACTTCCAACCAAGTGTACCAAAACTGATACAATCATTTTAATGCATGAGATACATGCTATGATATAAAATTATGCGCTCATCAGTTATCCAGTAATATTTTGCAGCGATTGTTTTATGACGCGAGAAATTGCCCAATCGCTTCCTTGCAAATTCTTTCTTCAAGGCAGCTTTGATCGCGCTGGATTTTCCGCTAGATTGATAGACAAGTGTATAATCGTTGGCAAAAAACTCCCTAAGGGTACACAATTTCTTATGAGACGGAGGCTTTATCAGGTTTGTTGTCAGGTAAAATTCGTACATGGCTAATAGCACAAAACTTGTAAATAGCAAGGCCACAAGGATCAATTTTGAAAGGTACTTACTACTTACCGATTGCCTAACATGTATCGCACAAACTGCGAAAATTACGTTCTCCACACCTTTTTGTAAGTTCACGGGAGAATCCTGGCACGCATGCGTCACAATTTTGAGCATAGCTAAAATCACCACTATTATCAAGCACCCAAGCCACACTTCTGAGCCAAATGCTGACACCCACATGCCCAAATCAGATTTTTCCGACCACACATCAAAATTGCAGTATATTGCATAATATCCCTCACACCGGAATGAATACAGTTGATTTATGCCCCATAGACGTCGCTACCAGACTTCTTGTATTGGTGATAGTAACCCCATCTGTGTGTCGCCCAGTTCTTCGATACACCAAACGTGATATTTAAATTTTTGCCTATCGTTGCATATCTTCGTTTCTGAATGTTGCAGGATTTCCCTAGTAGCATAATGAGGTATTTTCCTTTGCTACATATACTACGAACCTTTCCTATTATTGCCATGATGGAAATGTCGCTCTGCCAATCATGCTGGAACGTAGTTAATTTTAACAACTTCAGCTTCGAGATATATGTAGCTCACTCGGACAAATTGGTGCTTACAGTAGACACAAACAAAATACCATTTCATTTTTGATAGCAAAAAATAACTTGTGCCCCTTTCTTTTTATCTGGATTGCAAAAATTCTGTGTGGCATCTGTAATTCGAATCTGTCAGGAAACTGTACTACATGATTCGGAGCGCGTCTAGTGATCAGGATGAATACGGAATGCACAAAACTTCTGTCGCCGTCCCGGGTGTAGTGTAATCAGTACATGTATGTAATCAGTGCGAAAGTTGTTATCCTCAATGTCAAATCTAACGAAAACTGTTACCGTGCAAAGCTCATAGAATTTGAAATCAAGTGCCTTCTGGCGGTGGCGGGTGTTCTGATTTCGGATCAATTATTGGAAAACTTGAGTTTGCTATTGATCGTGTAGATTAGGTTGGCTGGATCGTTGGCATGGATGAGGTGTTCCGTTAAGTCGACATAGTTAATCTTATCGCTCAATCTTACGAATTTCATTACACAGGGTCCAAAGTGTCCAAAGCTGCCAGGGGGTAGGTCATCCATGCTTCCAATTGCGGACGCCATGGTTACCATGACAGGGATGAGAGAGGAAATGAAAAACATTGTAGACTAGTCTCTTAAGCCCGCAATGCGGGCTCTAAGCAAAAACATGTTATTTAGTTTAGCGATACAAATGCCTGCTGAATAATTGCACAGTTAAAGAATAAGTTTTAAGACAATTCATGTATTACGTGACGTGATTGAAGGTTAAACATGAACTTACCTAACTTGCTAGTTGGTGGCCTTAGTGTGACGAGAAATGTTTCAAAAACAAGGGGAAAGTTTTTAATAGCGAGAAACTTATTATTTCCAATGACTATATATCTCAATCTTACTGTTCAAGTTTCTGAACTCAATGGAAGCCGTTTCCCTTGAACGTTTGAGACTGTAATGGTAAGGAACCAATTGTTTAAGCGAAACTGTCCTATTTCCAATTTCGGCGAAGACGAATTTCCAAGACGAATTTCGAAAATAGGAAAAAGCCGTACATCTCAACAGTTAGGGTTGGTCATCCGATCCGATCGGATTATCCGAGATTATCCGAACACTTACTATAACATGTATCCGATCCGACCCAATCCAATCCGTCGGATCGGATCAGATACTATCCGACCATGTTGTAGCAAATGGTCGGATAAAAATATCCGATCCGATACGACGGATCGGATATTATCGTATTGGATGGGACCAAGCCTATCAACAGTAGGACGGATGACTTCGCTCTAAATCCACCATTGTTTTCCAACCAGTATGGCTGAAGTAAATGTATGTATCATTCTTGCAAAACATCACTAGTGCGTGATCCTAGTCCTAAGTTTTAATTAGACAAATGTAGAGGTAAAACACTCTTGTGCATTCGCGTCACCAGGATCGATGAAATATTGCATTATTTAAACGTGGAAAGTTTGTATCTAAAAATATCGAAAAACAAATCAATTTATTCCCGACTTACCAGTCAAAATAACAGTGTCTATATGAGTAAAAATCATTTAGAGATTACACCTTTGACACGGATGTATTCATCTTTTCAGGAACATCTATGTGCATACATACATTGACTCACAAAGTGTCAAAGACAATTCTAAACCGGGGACGAACATGCATATTACTAGCAGATCATGTATTTATAAAATATGAAATCGAAATATGAAATTGAACAGTAAATTAATCATTGGAGGTTGATTTCATAAATTTCGTTCGGATTAAGCACTTAGGATTATTAATTCGTAATCCTTAATCCGTTAATCACGACTAACTAATCACGTATCTCTGCTTATAGTTTACATTAAGAACATAAAAACCGACAAAACTTACCCCATAGAAAGTGTACATTTACATAGATAAAGAAACTTAACATGAATTACCTCAATGGACATTGACAGACAACTTAATCCTAACAATATGAGACAAACTAGTAACAGCTTTTCCAGATTGTTCAACTGTATGACCAAAATCGTGGTCTGGCTTTTTGGCTTGATTTTTTCCAATGCCAAAATATTTTCCAACTTTGTCCATTCATTCATCAGACCTAGTTCAAAGAGGGAGTTGTGAAATTTCAAAGCTTCCTTGACGAAAGGTACGTGCAAGAAGATAAACTGGAGGTAATGCCCACTGAGGGAGAATTGGTTGCACGGATAGTGCTCCTTTAAATAAGAAATCTGTCGTTGACGCAATTCCAAATTTGTAAACTTCTCAGACACTTCAGTTTGGTGAACAATACCACTTGGAATGTCCTCATTTACAAGCTTCTGGGTTACATATTTTTGTGGAACATCATGAACTAACTCCGAACTGGAATTAATTTTATTTATAATGTTGTATTTTTTAAATTCAAAAAATAAAGCTGGGTCCATTCCCATCCAATTAATCCCGCTCGCATTATCAATATTCATGACCAATTTGTACGATGCATTGATAAACTCGCCCAAATTCAGATACTCGATTGGAGGACTGGGTGAAATAATTTTTCCCGTGATGATGGATTCATACAATGAAGGAAGAACTGTCCCTGCCAAAAGGGCGAAGATCAAGTAATTGATAGAATCTAGGTCCCGGATCGACTGACGACATAAGACGGAAACCAGGAAAAATATTTCCTGTAGGATATCTCGTAATGATCCTGTTCTACGAGATCCTGCTAATACAAGAATTACCAGGCATACAGATATCCACACATTGGCATGAAAAGGGGTAAACCATACAACCCATGTGGTCTCTAGAACCTCATTGCGTCGACAGTAGATAACATAGTATTTCACTGTGCGACATAATCCGACAAAATTTAAGTCTTGGTAATCATATCCGACTCGAAACATGTTAATTTGAATATATGGCCGCACTTCAGTATTCAATTTAACATAAATATGTGAAAAGTTGAACTTATTTGTAAGACAGGAAATTTCATTCTCAGCAGCTTTCTGAAAACTGTGGTATTGCGGCCTGCCCGTGAGGTGTACACCTAGAACCTCAATGTTCAACTTTGTTCCTTGCCAGTTTGGGAAGGGTTGTGGATTCGTTCTAATCACAGTTACGAAGCTGTGTGGTGATATTTCCAAAACGGAACTGCCAAGGCTTCCTTTTCGATTGAGTCTGTAGAAGTTATTACTCACAACAATATAAACTGCGTATGAACCTTGGTTCCAATAGTCTACTAGTAGATTTTCGACAAGGTATTTTCTGTAGTAGAAGAAAAAAATGGAGCCTGGTTTGTGAAAGTGAAAGTAGAATAAAGTGAAGGATTGGGCAAGGTCGCGCTCTGTGTTGCCTGCATTATGATAAATATTCACAATCGCGCAATCGGATGCAAATCGGCTTTGTCTCCGCCAAATTGGAACCCAACCTGCTTGGAAGATCCGGTACACAGAAATCCCGTACTGTTGGAATAGCATGGTGTCGTTCTTGGTCGGCATGCGATTAAATATCGTCCACGTGATGAGCCAAAATGGACCTTGAGAATGATACGTATGGATGTAGGATTCTGCGACTTCATCCCTTCCAACTTGTTTGTGATAGAATAAGCATTCAACGAAGGGATTGGTTTCACCAAGTGTTTCGCCGAATATGAGTATAAAGTTTGAAAAGATTAGTGGAAATTTCATTGTAGGAATTTGTAAGGTGCAAATTGCTTATCTCTGCGAACGTACATATAAATGCACACTTCTGCACACAACTATTGTCATTTTTAGTGTGAAATATCAGATGCAGGTTACTTTCGTGACTTTGTGGGGATACATAAGAGGCGACGCCTAATGTACGCAGGTAAGCTACAAAATAATTTCGTAGAAGGAGCTAGTTTGAGCAAAAACATGTTACGAAATCAGATATGGGCGAGGCAATGTATGTACGTAGCTAGCATGAAACACTTAGGATAAGTCAGA